ACACTGAAGAGAAGAGGGCCGACAGAGAGAAAAAGCCTTCCCCTGGAGCTGACACCCTGAATTTGGACTTTTAGCTTACTCTGACTATGAGGAAATAAACTTCTCTTCATTAAAACCATCCACTTGTGGTATTTCTGTTGTAGCAGCACTAGATGACTAAGACAGAATGTGGTACCGAGAGAGTGGGGTGCTGCTCTAACAGATCCCTAAAATGTGGAAGTGGTTTTAAAACTGAATGGATAGATGTGCAGCAGTGACAGAGGACCAGCAGCAGCAGAGAAGCTGCAGCAGCAGAGAACCAACAGCAGAACCAGGAGACCGGTGAAAGACGGCGCTGGAGCCGACCCACGGAGCGAGGGAGCTGAGTGCCTGTGAGCAGGAGGCTTCCTGGTGGAGTGCGGTACCTCAGGCCACTTACTGGTGGAGCTACTGAGCTTTGGAACACTTGCCCCAGCAGGGCAGATGCAGGCGTGAGGCCCGAGGGCCGAGAGGCCATAGAAGCAGAAGCTGAAGAGACAAGGGACACAAGAAGCCGAGCTGCTTCAGCCTCAAAAGGTATGGCCATGACCTTAGGGGTTTCAGAGGGTGGAGCCATGGCCTCTGGTGTTTCTAAGGGTGGAGAATGGTGCGCCTAAAGCCAAGGGAGCAGAGTTGCTATCCCAGGGGGCCTGGAAGGTGGAGCTGAAGCCCAGGGCTGAGGGGCCTCCACTCAAAATCCAGAGACTGTGGCCAATACCTAGTCTGGAGGGCAGGGCTATTGTGTAAATTGTTTCAGAGAACAGAAAATTATTTTCAAAGCCTTGAGGGCTAATGTAATGTGTTCTGCTGACTTGCTTGGTTCCTGTTACCACTTCTTTCCCTCCAGTTTCTCCCATTTGTAATGGAAACGTCTAGCTTGTGCCTGTTCTGCCATTGTACCTTTGGAAGCAGATAACTTGTATTCTGGATTTCACAGATGAAGAGGGATTTTTGGATTTTGGACTTGGAGTTAAGACTTTTGCTGTCATATGATGGGGTGAATATGTTTTCCATGTTGCAAGGATGTGATTTTTTGCGGGCCAAAGGGTAGAATGTCATGGTTTGAATTATGTCCCCCGAAAAATGTGTGTATCAGTTTGGCTAGGCCATGATTCCTGGTACTGTGTGATTTTCCTGTACGTTGTAAACCTGCCTCTATGATGTTAATGAGGGAGGATGGGTGGCTGTTGTGTTAGTAAGGCAAGACTGGATCTACAAGACTGGATTGTGTCCTGAGAATTGCAATCTCTTGAGATATAAAAGACTGAAGTGAGCCATGGGACAGGGGGACCTCATACCATCAAGAAAGCAGTGCCAGGAGTAGAGCGCATCCTTTGGACCGGGGTCCCTGCGCCGAGAAGCTCCTAGTCTGGGGGAACACTGATGAGAAGGCCGACAGAGAGAAAGCCTTCCCCTGGAGCTGACACCCTGAATTTGGACTTTTAGCCTACTTTGACTGTGAGGAAATAAACTTCTCTTCATTAAAACCATCCACTCGTGGTGTTTCTGTTGTAGCAGCACTGGATGACTAAGACACCTGGTTATTCCAAGGGAGTTAGGGGAACCTAGAACGGACAACCCCACCCTTCCCTCTTGAGTCAGGCTCACACCACACAACCCCCTTGTCTCTAGAATCTACCAACTGGATGATTATGACAAAAAGGAAAATATTTGTGGGGGGCCATCTGAGATACCCCACTGGTCCTGGCCTGCCTGGAGCAAGGGAGAATGAAAAAAACCGAAGACACAAGGGAAAGATTAGTCCAAAGGACCAATGGACCACAAGTACCACAGCCTCCACTAGACTGCATCCAGCACAACTGGATGGTGCCCGGCTACCACCACCGACTGCTCTGACAGGGATCACAATAGAGGGTCCTGGACAGACGTGGAGAAATACATAGACCAAAATTCTGACTCACAAGAAAAGACCAGACTAATTGGTCTGACAGAGACTGAAAAAACCCTGAGAGCATGGTCTCTGGATATCCTTTCAACTCAGTACTGAAGTCACTCCTGAGGTTCACCCTTCAGCCAAAGATTAGACAGGCCCATAAAACAAAATGAGACTAAACGGGCACATCAGCCCAGGGGCAAGGATGAGAAGGCAGGAGGGGACAGGAAAGCTGGTAATGAGGAACCCAACGTTGAAGAGCGGAGAGTGTTAACATGTCATGGGGTTGGCAACCAATGTCACAAAATAATATGTGTATTAATTGTTTAATGAGAAACTCATTTGCTCTGTAAACCTCCGTCTAAAGTGCAATTAAAAAAAAATACTTAAGAGGACTTCCGGCAAGACGGCGCTCTAGGCAGAAACACCACACCGTCCCTCCATAACAAAGATCCGAAAAACTAAGCCAAACAGAGAATCAACAATCCTGAAACCCTAGAACATCAAATGAAGAGATAAAGAACTCAGCCAAACACCAA